CCCTTCTAATGGTTAATGGTCTGGCCAACCTTTAATTATTAGTTGGGAACCCTTTTAATTATTCAGATACATCTCAATGGGACGCCTTCGGGATATAATTATTTAAATATAACCTAGTGACCGTAAGTCAACGGGTAGGCTGTGTGTCACATAAAGGCAATGACCATAAGTCAGTGGGTAGGCTGTGCGTTATATATATAAACAAAGGAAACTTGACCATAAGTCGGTGGGTAGGCTGTGTGTCAAACAATAGAATCAACCGTAAGTCAGCGGGTAGGCTGTGTGTTGAGCATTAAATAACCTATTAATTAGGAAACTCGGATTGCATGCTCGCAATATATATTATACATTGCAGCTGATTCTTTTTATCATTTAAAATTAACAACATGGATGTTACATATGACATATTTTACCTTAAAAGTATTACCCTTATAATAGGGATTGTTGGGTGCTTTTTAGGAGCAATGGGGCAAACATAAACAAGCATTTGATAAATTGTTATCTTAATGCTATTATTAATATATGAAAGATTGAATTGTTTTTCTGAGGATGGAATGAATTTAAACATGACCACAATCTTTAGGGTAATAAAATGTAATTTCAAACCCTAAGGCTTTTTTTTAGTATTTTTTTCCCCACATCCAAATATATAGAGTTATTAGCAATTTAAAGATTGGCCTGTCTAGATGATCCGCACCACATTTGTAATAAGTGATGTTACAAAACTCCATCCAATTGTATGACTATTTTTATTTTCTTGGAGGGAACATTTTAAAGAATCGCTATCAAAGCACTACATGCAGAGCAATATATATATATATATATATTAGCTCACATTAAAATTATTTCAATTGCTTTGGGGAAAGTCCTCGGACACATGACAGAAAGTGTCACCTATAATATGGTATAAACCATCCGTTTAATCTTCCTTATGTTGAAGAGAAAGAGAGAAAAGGATTAGATGAGTTGTTCTCAGCTCATTGGATTTTTTTCTTTTATTTTGAGACTTTGGTTGATCACGGATTTGGTTTTGTTGGTCATAGCACAGTTATGCGATTGTGATTTCTTTCTTTTTATTTGAAACATATTAAGAAGAAGAGTTCATAACACAACGAGGCTTACTCTTAAGGTGTTCCCTTCTTATTCATTTATTTTTTAATAATAAAATGTTAGTAAAATTATTTGTAGATGCAACTTTAATATTAAAAATTATTCATTTTTTTTTTCCATATCTGATATATATATCTGATTTATTTTAATTTAAACTATGAAAAATGATTAATGTTCAAAATACCACACATTTTATTGTTTGACCTTGCATTTTTTTTAATATTAAGCCTTTATCTGTTGGCTTTCCTGCTCTGTTTATTAATCAATTAAAGTGTTAAAAAAATGTCTCAATTATCAAGTAAATATAGTAATCTTCCTGACATTGTAAGTTCTCACTTGTTGAACAAAATTTTATTATAATAGAAACAGATTAAACTGATATTTAGGAGACCCAACCAGACGTTTATGAATCTCCAGATACACCTGAAGAAAGTGATGCTGTAGACAATGGGGGTAAATAATTTTGTTATTATTATTATAATTGTTTTAAAATAAGAAGAAGGTTTTTCAAAATTTTAGAGTATCTTTTTTATTTAAAAGAACTGAATGAAAATATAGTTAAGAAAAAATTTCTGTATGTGAAGCTGTTGATAAGTTTAAGGGCAGTATCATCAATGCTTCTGAAACTGGTATATACATATGAATATAACTATAAAAAAAATATACATCACTATTTCATTGATTATATGATTTTAATTATATTATGCTATTTATATTTTTAGATTTCCCTGATAGTATAACTTGTTGTAAAAAAACATGTACAAAGTTTATGTTAAATGTCCTGTTTTAGATACAAATGAATATGAATACATCTCCTGTACAAAAATTGTGAAGATTAATTTTTGAAGCTCAAGAACTTGATGAAGAATTGGAAAAGATAAGGTACTAAAATAAATAATGCAATTAATTATATGATTATGTGAATCATAGTCACTTAATCATCATTATTTTTTAACAAATATACATATGTCAATAGGATGATGATCAATAAAAACTTAAAAAACCTCTTCACAATGCTGTTGTTGAACAATCCAGTTTGCAAAAAGATCTTAGTCGACTATCTCAAAATATAAGTGAACCAGATTCTATAGACAAAAAGGAAGGAACAATAATAAAACAAGCCGAAATGAATGAAAAATTAGTTGATCAATCAATCAATTACAATCTTTTAAACACCTGGGTGTTCACAGGGAAAATAGAATTTCGAAAGATTATGACACATCAACTGTGATTGAAACTAATGGTCATGATTCAGATAATGCAATTGCAAAAAATGATATTTTATTTGATTGATGATAATAATAATATTATTAATTTATTGATTTATTAATTTACTAATTGTTGTTATGAATAAATTAGATGGTTATGAATGAGTTATATTATATACCTGAAACTGCAAAAATTCACATTTTAGCCAAGACAGTTGAACTTGATGGATGTATTTCTGCTTTAGAAAAACTTGTTGGTACATCTCACAGACAAATTTTGTGAATATTGTATGTTCTTGGTTAGCTAAATGAATTTTTTTATTTATTGCCAATGAATTCATTCATTCATTCATTTAATGACATTGTAATAATAATAACAATCATCTATTAATATAATATAGTCAATTTCTATAACAAATATCAATTTAATTGCTGCCATTGATAAACTTGATCAACATATGCAAATATTGATACAATCATGTCATTTAGGATCTATTTCCAGGAAAGCTAATAAAGCTAATGCTTTGGCTGGTGAATGGAGAAAGTTAATGAATTGAAGAATAAAGAACTTTTAAATGGTGATTTGAGACTGAAGAGAAGATGCCTGCCTGCCCATTTTATTAATGTTAGTTATAATCTTTCATTGATTAATTATTAACAAGTTTACAATTATTCTAACATTTATATTTCTAATTTTATATATATATGCATGTAAAGATAGACTATCTTTTACACTTTTGGACAAAGTAGATCCTCTTACGTCAATTGCACCAGTTTTGATTAATTGTTTCGAAATCTTTACAACAATTACATTAAAAAACTTCAGTTTTTGGTGAAACAATTAAAATGTTAACCAGTGAACAAAATAAGGTTTGTGGTTTTTTTTTTTTTTATTTTTTTCTAATTGATTTCTAATTAATAATTAAATCTAATGTTTATATATATATAATTTAGCTTGAAAAATCATTTGAAATAAATGATATGGCAATTCAACAAAACATTGAAGTTGTTGATTCACATGTCACAGACTTGGCTGAATGCAAAGGTATTTTTACTAGTGTTATGACCATGGATAGATTATGTATGATGCAATATGACATAGAGGGATGAATGAATCTGCATAATCCTTTTTACCTAATGTGAGTAAGTAAAATTTATAATGATTTTTGTTCTTATTTTGTTTATTTTGATCATTTTTCGTTTGTAGTTTCAATGGGCTTCCCCTTGAGAATACTCCAAATGGTAGGTGTAGTTCTTTGACTTTGATGTAAATTAATTTTGGTTTCATATTTTTATATAGGAATAGCTCTATATAAACCAACAACAATAACATTAACAATAAAAAATAAGAGTAGATCAGCAATTACACAATAAAAAAAAGGCTTTTTACATCCACATCTGAAATTATGAATTTAACTGTCCCAGAAAAAAAGAAAGATTATGATAAGAAAAAAAAGAGATTTTATGAAATAGAAAAGAAATCGATGATAATGATATAGAAGAATATGGAATTTAGAAGATGAATGAACAAGGATATGGAAGCCTTGTGAAAAAAAACCATGTTTGAATTATTGGAGAGGACAATTATTTCTGGAGCTAGTTATTAAGAGGGATATAGAGGCTTCAAGAATCATAGTCAATTTAAGTAATGCAAAGTTCAAGGATTGGAATGTAAGGTTATATATTTATTAATAGTTATTATTATGTTGTTATCAAGGTTGTTATCACAATATTAACAATTGATCAATTAATGATGATTATTAACTTGGTCTAAAGCAGAGGTTGCAAAAATTCTTTAACCGGTTAATTAACCGTTAAAATTAAGAATTAACCGGTTAACCGGTTAATTTAGTCACGTGGAATTTTTTAACTAGTAAATTCGATCATTCATTACTCACGCGCCTGTTGAATTTTATTATTATACACTTAATAGATGCTAAATGATTACAGTCAAACCTTGCCACAGTGATTCATGGTTCCAGCCAAAAAAATCCGTTATTATTATTATTATTATTATTATGACAAGAAGTCTGCAGCGGCAAAATTGGGAAATTTTTTTTTAATAATACAAAGCTCTCTATACCGAACCCTCTGTACATTGTATGCATTTTCCTGCTTTTGTTCATTACAGGGAGAAATTAATGGATTAACGGATTGTAACACCAAATCCTATAAATAATAATATAATAATAATTAATAATAAGCTAACCGTAATCTGTTAACAACCCGTTACGACTGGTAGTCCGTTAATTACTGGATAAGGTCTTAACGGGTCATAACACTGTATAAAACGTAAATTTGCTTAATATTAACATAATAATAATAAAATCAAATTTCGCATAAATATTATTATTAATATTCATTTGTGCAACCGGATATTCAATGAATATTCGAATATTCATGATTAAAATCACTAATTATGAGATCCCATTAACAGAACTATTTTGCAAAATGTAAAGGTATTCAGTTAATTGCCCCTCTTCATCATAATAATATGGAATATTATAATAATGAAAAAGAGCACCTAGTGTTAGTACTTCATTCACACTCCAGTCTCGTGCATCAATTTCAATATCCTTATCATGGCCATGTAATTGTTTTGATACAGTATGGTAAAGACCACCCATACACTTTTCCACATCTTTGTATCGAGAATTATTAGCTAAGCATATTTGTTTTAAATATGACACAAACTTTGCATCTTGTACCAATTTCATTAAAACACTGTCTGTAGGATCACGAAATGAGGTAGTTTTATCCTGCAACCGAGTCTATTGAGAGAAAAGTATGTAAACAAAATTCAACAAAAGTAATTAAAAAAACACGGAATGTTACCATTGATCTGATGAACTCTAAAGCACCTTTCACATTACACATCCTTTTTGATCGTAAAAGAAGTTCAGTGCGGTATTTGATATCATTCTTAAGATTCGTAATACTATTTGATAGTTCTGATTTTTCGTATTCTTTTTTCCTTTACATCTGCTAGTTTCTGCATTAAATCCTTTGTTAGTTCTGATTTTTCGTCCTTTACATCTGCTAGTTTCTGCATTAAATCCTTTGTTAGGTCTACCTTTTCCTGTACCAAATCCTTCGCCAAATCCTTTGTTAAAACCATAAAGAGATTTGCGATTTTTGAACTAACTGCACTTCTTATTTTTGAATCTTCAGGTAATTCATCAAGAATTGGCGAGATATCATACTTGTAACTGCTAACGAGAGAGATGATAATCTTTGTTGTGGCCACAAGGGATGATGGTTCTGCATCTAATAAACAGTGCTTAAGTATTTGTTCAAGTAAAAGAGAAAGATATAAAACGTCTCATTTGCTTACCAAAGGCCTTAGCAATCTTAAGCGTAAAAACATTCTAATTACTACAAGGAAAATTTTTGTCATTGGTTATACATATTAATATATTAATTGACAATCCGTGAATGAATCAGTGAGATGTTGATCATTTTGTTATGAAATTTTGTCGCCAATTATTATTAATAAAATAAGAAATTTCCCAAATCTTACCATCCTCACAAGTTAATTCTCATGTCTATACAAAAAATACAGAAAACAACCTTAGAAATTGTTAAATGCTTCTTTAAAACTCTTTTTCAGTTATTTTTTAATTTTACTATAACAACATATAAGTTCATTTCATTAAAATAAATTATTTTTTTGTTGATAAACCGATAAAAAAAAAGTATAATTTTGGTCAGAATACTTTATAGTGTTGGCTGAAAGTTAAAAAATTCCGAATTTTTATATGTTATTGACTTCTTATTCTGTGACAAGCATACGGATCGTCAATTAATAAATTAAAATCTATCGTAACACGAAAATCAAATAAGATCGGCCAATGAAAATTACATACTTGTGAAAAATATAATAATAATAAATTTTGCAAAATATTATAGAAATATGAATGGTTTAAAATGAAATTTTCTATTATTTATTTTATTTAATTGATTTAATTTAATTAACAATTCTAAGAAACATAAAAAACAGATAATGGTTATATAACTTCCCGTTATGTTTAGTATAATGATAATAGTAAAGGGGACAATACTTAAATCTGTTGTAACAAGAAATGTGTTGTGGCGAGGTCTGCTGTGACGAGGTTTGACTGTAATATATATAAAAAAATTAATAAATGGTGGTTAACCTGTTAACGGTGCCAACCCCTAATCCAGGAACTTTTCTTTGAAAACATTTAGAAGCCTAGGTGTGAGGGGTTCATTGAATGGGAACACTCGATTGGGATATCAGATAAAAATAAAAAAAAGAATTATTACAAAACAAAACATTCTCAAGCTACTTCATCCAATTCTCAGAATGCCATACATTCTGATAAATGGGAAGAGTGGTGTCAGAATTTTATACTTTTTGGTGCTAAGTGAGAAAATTTTTGCCTTTAGCATGTTATCTTTTTTTTAATTATTTAGATAGATTTATTTAAATGTCTTTTTAATTATTTTAAGTAAAGGTGGCAGGCTAGCTTTAAATTAACAATAGGTTAATTGGGGTAGGATTATGTGTAAATATTTAATGATGCATTAAATTTTATATAAATAAACGTGTGGTTTCAAGGCCTCACTTTAGCACAAAAAAAAAAATAATAAAGATAGCAATCAATATATGTGTTTTGAAACAAATAATAGTAAAGATAACAGTAAAGGTAATAATTAGAGTTAAAGTTAAAAAGGTCAGTTGAGATGACAAGATTTTCCCTTTAATATATTTAAACATTGCGCCTTCCCAATTTAGCATTAGAGGATCATCTTTTAAAGCCACAATAACATGAGTTTTTTAAACATCAACATAATAATAATATTTTATTTTGTTAATTGATCGAAAAAGCAACAATTAATTAATCGGAAAAGTAATGGTTCTTCATTTATCAAAGAAATTAATGGTTTATTGTTTGCTAAGATAATTGATCAAAAAAACAATTGATTGGTCAAAAAGGTAATAGTTCTTTAAAATATAACGATTTTACCTCAGTATAATAGACAATAAAGACAATAATGCATTTTTTGTCTTCATGACAAAAAAAAAATTGATCCTTCTTATTCTTGTAAATAATAATATTTATTATTAAATTCATGTTGGTCTCAAAACAGAAGAAGATAGCAGAGAAAATCAAGCACAAGCTAAAAGACTAACAGGAGAAAAAAATGGAAGATTATTAGGTGTCATTGAAAGCAGAAAGGTTTGGAAAGAAAATAAATTGATCTGCAAGTCACACAAAAAAAAATGAACATTTGCAATTTAACATTTCTCAAAAATAGAAAATTCCTTCCCCAAAAATCAAGTTTAACAAAAGTTTGATTTTCAACATCTCCTCAATATCAACATCAACATGCCATGTTGACTTCTTTCCTCCCTTCTCGTCATGATCATAGAGAGTATTAATCACAACGCAACAAACTTCGCGAAACTGCAAATTCCTTTTTATAGATAAAAATTACCAAAAAGACATTAAATCATTTTAAAAAAAATCAACGATAACCCTGAAATAGAGGTTGAACGTTGCACTGGATTGGTTTCGTTGATTTCTTACGTTAAATAAAATAAAAACTGTTCTTAATTGTATCATCATCATTAATACTTTATCCAACAATAATAATTTTTTTGAACATCTTCAGTGGCCGGTCTTTTATCCGGATCAGCATCCATCCATACGTTTATAAGCTAGTTAGCTCATTATAAATTTTGGTGTGTTAATTGAAAAACCTTCACATATCTCTAACTAAAGAATTTGATATGCTAATTGTTTACAAGAATGAAAATCTGTATGTGTTGAGTATTGTGAACGTTGCCTAAGATGAGCTGACACTTTGAAAAAGAAATTAAACAATGAATGATAAAAAATCAATAGATTTAATTAAAATAAAGAAAACTTCAAAAGATAATGTGTAATGAACTCGTATTTATCAAGATGATACTGTTATTATATATATAGTTTTTCATTAATGCTAAGAAGAAAAAGTTGGAGTTTTAGGTAGATGCAGATAAATTTACTTAATTTTTTTTTCATATCATACGAATTGATTCGATAACAGTACCGTAAAGGATCTTTCTTGAACACATTAATATTCTTAAATGCTTACCAGAAGTATCCCGAGTTATTGCCATTTGTAATTTCGAACAACTTGATCTGATGGTGAGTCTACAACTATGGCTCTTATAGCCGAGAGAGCAGGTATATGGAAATCGTTAAAGGAACTTGTGGACTTGTGCAGGATGATCTTATTGATTAATGAAGCTTTAGAACTAAAGCTGGTGGTCAAAATTTACATTGTGGTTTAGATATTACAGTTGATAGAAATTATTTTGGGAGTCAGATAAGTTATTTTATTATTATTATTACTATTAATAATCTTCATATAACCTAATCTAATTGCTTTTTTTTAAAAAATTCATTAATTTGTGGATATAAATTTCAAATCCATCTCTCATCCATTCCCAGCACTTTTTATAGCAGTGAAACAAAGTCATACAATAGTCATTGCATTTCATCTAGAGCTGATCAATCCCATGATTATCGTATTCATAAATATCTCAATCATCATCTTCACTAAAAAAGAACAATAACATAATAATATATAGATTTATATATAGTTATTTGAAATATAAAAGGTTACATGATAATAGTTGATTTTCATAATCTTATTCAATTTTGATGAAAATAATAATAATAAATTTCTTCAATAGATAAATGTCTTGATTTTAATATAATAATAATGATTTGCGTAATTATGAGATAAAAACTTTCTTTATTTCACTTAGATTGAAAACAACTCCCGTACGAGGACATGTAATTTTGCCATTGTTTTTAGAAGCCATCTCCGTTAATGCCTTTTTTGGTATGATAATGTTAGAATATTCAGGAAAAAAATAGACATTTCTAATATAAACTGTTAAATTGATAAACGGTGATTATCCATACCTTTAGTGAATAAACGTATCCATTTGGAAGAGTCATCGGAGGATTATTTTCATCCATTATTTCACCACTTAATCGACAAACAATTGTAGAATTCACATGATGACTTAATGGAAGACTTTGTGCTAAAGGACCTAATGTTTCCGGTGTGCACACAGGACAATTTATGTTTCTGTTTTCTGTTTGATAACACATGGGCGTTTTAAGTGCTGATAATCCTGCTTGAAGGGTTACATTCAAAAGAGGTTGTGATGTAAGAGAATTCAAAGCAAAATTATCAGCACGAAATTGAGTTATGAGCGCGTCCCAACGCGATTCATCATACAATTTCTATATATATATATTGTTATTAAAAAATTTAGGAATGATTAATTAATTAAAAAAAAATTTTGGAATATATTTAAACAGACCTTATAAGGTGGACAAAAAGTGGATGAGGGAAATGCGAGTAAACACATTGCTTGCTGAATTTCTTTTATATGCATATCTGACCATGCAGTGAGATACTTGCGTGAATATGCAATAGCATCAGATTTTTTATTTGCTCGGACTAATTCTATAAACTCTTGTAATCGAAGATTAAATTCAAGAGTGCTCTTAAAACAAACAAATCATTATTTTTATTGATTTGTTAGGTTTACTACGAAGACTGTAGTTAAAATCAATCTTATTTTTATTATTTAAAAATTAGTTTCAAAATACCTGCATTTTACGCAAGTTCGTTTTGTTTAAATTACACCAATCAAGTGCTTCGGTACAACTATATTGTTGTAATGCTTGTTCAACACGACGTGTCTGGGTGAATAATTCAATATCAACAAAAGGCTAAACATAATAATTGATTGATATGTATGGCATTAGTACATCGATTATGAATGTCTGTTACAAAATAAAACTTTTCAAATACAAACCTCTATTGATTCATCTTTAGCTAATTGACCCGCAGTTTTACTAAAACCCTCTCTCAACATATAGTCCACAAGTATTCTATCCAACCTTACTCTGCTCCATCTGGTGTAATCTTCTGAGCCAGGATTTGTAATTCTTGTCAATTCGTTCAAATGAGCAAGTCTTTGTTTACTTCTAGATAGATATATTGCTCCTTCAGCTTTTGAGTCATTAAGCTATTTGAAAAACAACCATTTTAAATATCAATCATAATGAACAAGGAAGAAAAAAACCACTTACTTTACGTTTTAAAGTATTCAATCTTCCAACCATGTTTTCAATGGTATTCGCTGTTTCAAAGAAATTAACTCCTTCTTTAGTAGATTTAACTGCCAAGTCATTAACAGTCTGTGTTACTCTGGATAATTCCTTTTCAATATCTTTTTGAGAAGTTCTTAAAGTTTTTTTTAGCTGTTCTAAAGGTACCTAATTTATATAAAAGGATTTTATTGGTAAGGTACATATACATTTCGAAAAAAATAACTTTGTACTTTGAGAGAGTGTACCTTAACAAAAGGTTGTTCCAATGTTAATAAACCGTCATGATTTAGCTTATTCATTATTAAATATTACTGTTTTGTAGAAAGGAGAAAAATGAAAGATTTATGATCAAATAATTTTTTATTTTTGTATCGGGTATCACGAAAATCATTTTCTAATTTAGAATTTTATAATATAAATAAACTTTTTTTTTTTAATTAATTATAATTATAAAAAACAAATTGCTTCTAGACAGGTGTGGATTAAATTAAAGTTATTTAAAGTCCCACGTATTAAGAAGCATATAATAATGATTTATATCTATTTATAAGTTAACCTTTAGTTTACACGCAGTGTTTTTTTTTTACTTTTCAGAAAAATTGGATGACACTGACATGCTTAAAGGATTCATTTAAAAAATTAATATTTTTTTTAATCGTTTGAAAGAATTTGATAATTAGATCTTCGATATTCCTAGTTTTCAAGTGAAAATGAAAAAAGAGAATAAAGAAAATCAATATTTATTGTTATTTTAAAAAAAATTTTAATAATAATAATTGAAACATTAACATTATTGAATCAGAAACGAGGAATCCCTGTAAAATTTTACGGTTTTGTCGACATTTATATGCATATTCAGACAAAGTATCAAATGCGCAAATTTCATCATAAAGTACAAAAATAATTGATTTATTTAACATGTTTATATTTACCAATATTTTCCCAAATTAATCTAAAATGATAGATAATAAAATAAAAAATTTTATTAAACGTATAATAACAATAACAATATAACAACAACAATGTCATCAGTTCATTACCATTTTTTTCTTTATCCTTTTTCTATGTAAGAGATAATTTTTTAGCTGACTTTATTTTTGCTTCTTTCGTCTAAGGATACCTGTCGCAATTAAAGAAATTGTTCGTAATTAGGTTACAACCATCATCAAAAGTTGCAGCCGGTAACCTTGTTTTCGTCTAATTATTCGATAAATTTCATCAATGAGCTTTTTATTTTAAACAACATATAAATATACACAAATATGTTTACATGTACAAACATACTGTTTACTAAGTCCAGGCTTTTTTTTTTACAAATTTTATAGCTGTTTGCCCTTGTCTTTCTTTTATGAAGCCCGTTAAATGTTCACTTAATTTTTTATAAAATAATAATAAAAATAAATGCGCTGTTTAATTCACGAAATATAATTGAAAAAAAATTTTTTTCTTCCAAGATAGATAGATGACCATCTTACAGTGTCAATCACATTTACGTTTAGTAACTCGTTTACTATTGGTTAATTAATTATAATTAATTGGGCTCATTATTGAGTGCCAGGATTTTTAAGCCAATCAAAATAAATTTATGATTTGAATCATAAATTTATTTCGATTGGCTAATTCATAAATTTATTTTAATTGGCTAATTCATAAAATTTATCACAATATTAAAAAAATTCTAATTGCGTCAGTAATGGCCCAAAGAAATAGACAGAGATATTCCAAAAAACAAGCAGGAATCATAGAAATTGAATCACAAAAGATATTGGATGCTTGTAAAGGAGATAAAATTCCATCTAAACATGTCTCTGAATGGTATCATCCCCCAAAATACTCTTATCGAAGTTTAACACCAAATCCCGATGATGACTATTTATTATCAATTTTCTTTTGGCGACCTGAAAAATTCTATCACCACTATGTACCTATCATTCCTTGTATCATTGACAGTTGCAATGGGAAGGTTAAATCAAAAGGGTGGGCAGATGGGGGTGGACGATTAATTTATGGTATTAATAGAAATGTTTTACTACGTAGTTGGAGTTATACTTGTGATTCTTGTAAAATTAGCTTTTATTCTCATGATGATAGACTGTTGAGAAAATTACCAGAACATATACAACATGGTATGTTTATATATTATTAATTTATATATCAATTTCATAATTAGCATTTCCTTTTTATATGTTATCAAAATCTGGGTTTACTTTAGAATTGGTTTCAGAAATTTTGTCTCTAATTCCAGATATTGGTCTTGATAAGGTTGTTCAAAGGATACGTGAGAATCATATTGATTACTATTTAAAAAAAGAGAATCGTTATTATGAACATTGCATTAAGTATCAAAACTATTTATCAGCAAGTAATAATAGTGATTTCTTTGGAATGAATATTTCTATGAATAATTATGTTTTTAAAATTTTTTCAAAATTTGATGATCCAGATGAGTATCAAGGATTGTGTCCTTCTGCAACTGTTATAAGAGAATGTTTTTTAAATTACTTTGAAACTAAGTTGGAGAGTTTTATTGATATGTACATGAGAAATTTATCTGGAGAAGTTTTATCATCTGATCACACTTTCAAAGTAGCATCCTTGGTTTGGATTGCAAAAAACCAACCATTTGGTGCTTTTTGGGCTGTTTTGAATGAGTATAATGAGGTGATTACCATGGCATTTGTTAAAGATAAGTCAAATGCTTGCATAAAACCTATTCTTGAGAATCTTAAGAAACGCTACCAATTATTAAATAAAGATGATCCTTGGGCATGGTATTCAGATCAATGTTGCACTGATTGAAAGTTAATAAATTCAGTTTTTCCAAATACACCAGTAAAGAAGGACCTATTTCATTTTTTGGATCTCTATTTACGTAGTATGGGCAGAGAATCACAAAGTAACCTTTTTTATAAACAGTTTGTTAGAGAATTGCGTGATATTTTTTTCATAAACAAAGATAATCAAAAAAAAATCTCACAACCAACTTTGTTAGAAGAAAGATTAGAAAATTTCATAGATAAATATAAAAATCCCAAGTTTAATATTATAAATGAAAATTTTCTCAAACAGCATAGAGATAATTTGATTCATATTAGACTTGGATGTGTTTCTGATGTCCAGGACAAGCCTTCTGAAATCATTATCAAGGGTAAGTATTTATTTTTAATATAATAAATAAATAATTAAATAAATAATTAATTAATTAATAATTATCTTGAATTTTTAGATAAAATTAATAATAAATCTAAAACTTTGTATTTACGTGGAACTTCATCATTGGAACAAGCAAATAAAGCTTTTGCAACTCCTTTTAGACGTACTGCATGTGGACCTCGTATGGCTAATGCATTGTTGAAGATAACTGTCTATTGAAGAAATGTTCATATGGGGAGAGTGAATCGTCAAGATAATTTCTTACTAAAGTGTAATTATAGTTATTTAATTAAAACAAAACTTAGAACATTTGAATTGATGAAAATTTTGTTTCCAACAGAACATTACGATGAATTTTTGATTTATAATATAAATTCTAATGAAACTTTTGGATTTTTGAGCAGTGATAAAGATAATTTATTAATTAATGATACTATGGAGGAAGAATTGAATGACATGGATATTATGGAATCAGGAGAAGACATGGTATCAAGCCTATTGGATTTATCTTATGATAGCAGTGATCCTGTGTCTAGTAATCCATCAACAATGAATTATGATAACTTTAATAATATTTTGATTGATAATAATAATAGTAACAAATATCAATCATCATCATTATTTATTAAGGAAAGAACTGGAGGTTATGTTTGCACCAGTAATTTTAATTCCAATGAACACAGTAAATTCAAAGAACTTTACAAAAATCATCTAAATCAAATTAATGATCCTAAAAATATTAATTGGGATAAAGTATATGAATATTGGATGGATCTTGCTGATAGAAATGCAGATTCAAATTCTTGTACATTAATCCGTCCTAAATTAAAAGAACATTTAAAAGAGCATTTTTCAGTAATTAATAATTTTTATTTACAAAAAAAAATAGAAGAAAGTGTAGAAGCAGGTAGAATATAGTTTTTAAATATTTAACATTAATAATGAAAGATTTTAACTATTTATTTAATTATTAAGGGTCTTCATCAACAACATCCAACTCATCATTAAATACAAATGGTAAATATGCTTCTTACTTTGGTTTTCACTAAATATCATTGAGATATCATTAATTATTATAATTTTTTACATAGTATTAAATAATAATAAGAGACCAATATCACCAGTGCCATCATCACCATTTATGCAACAGCAACAAAAACGAACATATAAAGAACCAATTTGTCATCGTTGTGGCAAAAGTAAATCTAAAGATAAAAAAGAACATCCATTAAAAAGGTATTGTCCTGATGGTGTGTTAAGTACAAAAATACATATTACATTTCCTCACGTTTGTGAACAAAAACCATGTTTTCAAAATTGTAATGATAGGAATTAGAATAAAATAAAATAATTTTATTATGTACAATATTTAAATCACGAGATATTACATCAAAATCCTGGCAGGGTTTTGAGCCGCAGTCAATTCTGGCAGCCAATTACGAGCCCAAAAATGGGTTTTGTCATAAAAAATGTCAACTATCGAAGGAATTAGAGAGCATTTGAAAAATTCGAGGGAAAAGTTGAAGGAGGAGGGAAACGTGAGGAGGCCTAAAAACGGTTTTTATTAGAAGCACAAATATTGTTAAACATGGATTCCCATTTTATTATTTTCATTATTGTTTTCAATGGTAATTTTATAAAAAAATAGAGAGTTTGCTAGAGTTTTCGAGCTTGAGCCGAGTCCACGTAGTGCCTTTTTATGTTTGAGTCAAGCCGAATTCAAGCCAAGTATAAACTCGGCTCGACTCGGCATTATGCTGAAGATGTATATTTTAAAGAAGTTATGAAGTTTCAACATTTTCTTTTCGAAACATCTAATCCTGGTATAGTGAAAGCTCAAGAGGTTGTCAATGATCCTTTCATGAATTCAATTTATTTGAAAACTAAAAAGGGTTTCTAGAGCTGTAAAAGGTATTAAAAACTTAAACCTACTCAAGCATCAGGAATGCCATTACAATAACATTTGACCTTTTGTCAGAGATGAGTTTAAGTATATCATTGTCAAAACCAGATAATGTTAACATTCAAATGGCTGCAAATTATTTCTCTTCTACTTGTTTTTCATGATAAACTTTCTTTCTTCTTCCAAATATTCTTGATCATTTATCTTGAAAATATGAGGTGGAATTTTTTCATCTTGTTCTTTTTTAAAATACTTCTGATAGTGCCGTAATTTTTGGGTTCCATGGTATGTCTGATGTAAATTTATATTTTATATAGAGTCAATCCTATATTAATATGTTGTTTAAGGAAAATTTCCATCTTCAAACAAACTTGCATAAATTGTTATTAATACTTTCTTATCTCTATCTATTTAAATATAAAATTGTAACATGAATGAACAATTATCGTGCTAAAGATAAAAAAGACTTACCTTGGTCATATAGATAGATAACCAAGCTGGCTCTTTATTATGGAATACAACAAACATATTGCACTTGCAAATAAATAAAAACATGAATGGATATAAAGAAATAAATCTTGTGACTTCTCTATAAGTTTAACTCTGAAACGGGAATATATTGCACTTATAAATCGTACTCGCAATCCCAAAGCTGATTCATTGATAGCTACTAAACTCATTGAAAGGACGCATATGAAACAACTCAGGATGAATGAAGGAGCCTTCTACCGATCATTAAAAAAAGCTATCAGTGAGATTTGCCAGGTTTACCAGCCCAACGATTTTAATCTTGTGTTTATTGCCAGTGATGAGAGTCTAAGGCATCTTCATTTACATGTTGTTCTTTAAATATAAGGAAAATTGTGGACATTGCTGAATGAAAAGAGAAGAATTTGCTCCTAAAATAGAACAATATAATGAAGCTCGAAAAACTCTCCAAGCAAATGACCAAGGAGTAGTTACAGAAAATGGCAAGTGTGTTGCCAGATTGAGCAGTCAAGAAGAAGCTTTGTCCAAAGCTCACCTGGTTATCAAGCCAAAGAAATCAATTACTAATCTCAGTCAAGTCAATTCTGAGACATGAGCACAATCAGGTGAGCTTATTCTAGATAATGTAAAGTAAGTAAAGGAAAAATTCAATGATATAAATAAAAGCTTTGTAATAATATCTTGGTTTTGCGGATATCTCGATTTAGCGGATAATTTTTTTGGAACAAACATATCCGCTAAATCGAGATACGCCGTGTGATCAATTCCTAATGTTGTTGCATTTGCTATTTTTGGTCAAAAATAAATGAAGCTCGCATTATTAAAATTTTGTCGGAAATGATGGTTGTTGAACATTGCGTAATTTTCTCTGTGTGGCGTAAAAAATGCAAGTCAACAAAAGCTTGCCAATACAATTGTACTACCAGTTAAAAAATTTTCATTTTTTTAAATGAACGAAGGTAGAATATCTCTTTATACATATTTGATAAGTTTTATAATCTTTTTAAATAATTAGACAATTTCACTCAAATATTATAGGCTTGCCAGAAAGACCAAGTTACAGATCAGGTCGTAAACCAACTGCCGTCAAAGTTTATACAATTAACAAAGAATCCAAGTAAAGCTAAAAAACACTTATAAACAATGTTATTTGCTACAAAAAAAATAATTATAGTTTTTAAAGAAGGGGTTCTTTTTTTTAATAGATACTTGATTATAGAAAATATACCAGAAATAAATGTGATAAAAGAATTGATCAAGCTACTTGAGCTATATGGGACGATTGAATTGTAAAGTTATATAATATATATACGTATTTTAAAAAACCCAAATAATCAGTCATGATCATGATTCATAAATAATAATATTTAGACATCAAATTTTACATGATTATCCATGTGAAGAATTTACAGAAGTATTATGGGTAAAATTTGCTTCTTTGCCTGAGGCAAGGTAATAATAAAATTTCTATATTATTATTAATTTCTAATATCACCTTCTAGTTTTAAAAAGCTAATTATTTATAAATTTAGAGCTGCAAAAAGAAAGGTTAATGAACATATTTTTTTCAATAGTCCTTTGAAAGTGAGATATGCACCAGAGTATGAATCAGTAGAAGATACACGTGAAAAACTGCAAGAAAGATGTCAAGTTATTGCTATTAAAACTCAAAAAAAAATTTTTCAATATAAACAAAGTAATTTTTAAAAATAATCCTTTTATGGAAAAATAACATTCAAATTATTTAATAAAATAAATTATTTTTTAATTTGTTTAGATATAAAAAAAGGCAATGAATCAAAAATCTCAGGCAAAGCAAGTTTCCAACCAACCCAAATGTCTACTGTTACACCACCATCTTTACCCTCACCAAAATCATTTGCTTATAATACCAACAATTATGATATCCACAGAACTTCCTATAATTATCATCAATATTACAAGTTAACAATTCAAAAATTCAAACAATATTTTTTTTCCTTACAAGAAAACAAAAAAAAAATTCTTATTTTAATTATAATTTTAATTTTAGCACTGAACCACCAATACCGGGAGTTGGATATCCATCACAAACACATTATGAACATTACGACCAAAATTTATTTTCAACATATCATCAACCTCAACAATCTGAACAAACTGTAAAGTTTTCTAAATATATTAAAATGTAAAAATTATATGCATCTATAAATTATTAATTTTTCTTCATTTATTTTAACAGTTAATATCATCCATGGTTAAAAATTCAGCAAGTAAGGCAATAGAATCAGCCTCAATTTCAACAATATCCACATCAACACCATCATCAACAACATCCTTAACTGTTAAGGGTAATGACAATAGTGCTGGAAAACGTTATTACTCACAAACACAATCGAATAAAGAAACTTCGAACCAATCTCAAAAAAATCGAAGAAGAATTTGAAAAAAAATTTAAATCTTAAATACTGTGCTATATATACAGTTCACTCTCTCTATAACGGCCCCCTCTATAACGGCCTCCATTCTATAACGCACTGTAAATCAGAAACCAAATTTTTACTATATAAAAACCTTACTCTATAACGGTTTTCTTAATTAAATTTCCTATAGTGTATAACGGCCAGCCTCTGAAAAACCTCTCATATGTTTTATAAGTTGTCTATAACGGCCGACGATCATGATCTGAGGTAATCATTACCAAATTAAGAAATTAAGTGTGTCACACTCAATTATTAATATTAATAATTCGAACGCGCGCTTATTGTCACAATACATTTATTATTGTAAACATAAATACATTTGTCAACATTACTTCATATCTATCATAATCCTTTGCAGTTACAATATATTATTTGTATTTGAAGGATCATAAAAAAGAACGTCACTATGACTTGCTCTATGACTTAATGTTAATTCATAAGTTTTGCTGTAATAATTATTTGTAAACATGACATAAGAAAAGTCAACCTCCTTGTGACTTCATAAACATTTCAAAATGTATATAAAGACCATATTTTACTTCGAGTTAATAGTAATTTGAAAATAAAAGATTGTATTACCAATATATCTAATAAATAAATTCAAATTAAATATCTAATGCCTTCAAATAAAAGAAAATCTTTAACTGCTTTACAAAAAAAAGAAATTTGCTTGGCAAAAGATAGCACAATTTCCCACAAATCAAGATTTGGCAAACGCTTATGATATAGGTAAAAGTACTGTTGATGACATTTTAAGAGAGAAAGAAAAATGGCTCACAATTGATGATGATTCTTCTGACGCTAATAAAAAGAAAAGAAGAAATTTACTATATGACGATGTTGATCAAGCATTAGCAATTTGGGTGGAGCAAGCACTTAATGCAGGTTTAGATCTTAGTGGTGACATTTTAAAAGAAAAGGCAGTGGCGTTTGCAGAACTTCTTAATAAAAATGGTTTTAATGCATCAGATGGTTGGTTGAGTGGATTTAAAGAAAGGCATAATATTAAAGAATATGTAAAACATGGCGAAGCTGGTAGTGCACCTATTTTAGAATTACCAACTTATAGAGAGCAAATTAAAAGTATTACAAGTCAATATCAATTATCTGACATTTTTAATGCAGATGAAACAGGCCTATTTTGGAAATTGGAGCCTTCTAGAGTGTTGTCCACAGGACCAGTAGCTGGAAGAAAAAAATCAAAAGAAAGAATTACTATAATGTTAACTTGCAATGCCAATGGGACAGAAAAGCTAAAACCCCTTCTGATACATAAATATCAAAATCCAAGAGCAATTATAAATTTTAATAAAGATACCTTGAAAGTGAAGTATTATTGGAATATTTAAGCATGGATGAAAACCACCATCTTTAATGATTATCTAAAAGATTTAAATAATGAGATGAAAAAACAAAATCGAAACATTTTACTATTATTAGATAATGCTCCCACTCATTCTATTTTTGAATCAACAAATTTAACTAATGTAAGAGTTTACTTCTTACCACCAAACACAACAGCATTTTTACAACCATGTGATGCTGGGATAATTAACAGCTTCAAGGTGAACTACAAAAAACTTTTCTTGTGAAAAAAAATTAGTGATTATGAAGAAGAGAGAAATGGTCAAGAATATGAAAAAATCTCAATTAAACATGCAATTAAATTTACAGCAAAAGCTTGGAAAAAAGTTATCAGTCAAACTATAGTTAACTGCTGGAAAAAAACTGGTATTTTACCTGATTATGATATTAATTCCAACGAAATTGAAAATATGTCATCAACTTTAAATTCATTGAATGTAAGAGAGTTCAATGATTTGCAGAATTTGATTGATGAACTTGCACTCCCTAATCCTATATCTGCATCTGAATACATTGAAATTGATGACTCTCATGTAAGTGATGAATTAAATCTAAATGACATAGTTACAATCATTAATCCACCAGAGGAAAATGAAGGCCAGGAAGAAATAATCGAAGAACTTCCACCTGTTACAAATAAAGAAGCCTTGTCAGCAATAAAAACATTAGAAATTTACATTGACCAACAATCAGAATTAAATGAGGACAATTTTAAATTATTGGAAAGTCTTAAAAAGAAAAATTAAAAAAATTGATTTTAACTCACAACAACAATCCACACTAAATAGCTTTTTTAACATTGAATAAGTATGCAAATTATAAATAGTTTATTTTTAAATATATTTTATCATATAAAATAAAATCTTTATATTGTATCACATTATAATTTATCACATGACTATGATCTGCAAACTCTCTATAACAGCCTCTCTCTATAACGGCCTTTTTTTGCCAAACCAGGCGGGCCGTTATAGAGAGAGTGAACTGTATTAATGTAATGTTTAAATATTCATTGTATTGAAATTATATATTGCAAGCCTATGTTTTTGATCCAAATTGTTATCAAATGTTACATTAGGATATCATCATCAATTGATGGATTATCATTTGAATTTTTCTCATTTTCATTCCCATTTTCATCTAATATGGATGTATTTTCTATATTTTCCAATCATTGTATACACAAATTACCTTGTTGTTCTTTAAATATAAGGAAAATTGTGGACATTGCTGAATGAAAAGAGAAGAATTTGCTCCTAAAATAGAACAATATAATGAAGCTCGAAAAACTCTCCAAGCAAATGACCAAGGAGTAGTTACAGAAAATGGCAAGTGTTGTTGTTCTTTAAATATAAGGAAAATTGTGGACATTGCTGAATGAAAAGAGAAGAATTTGCTCCTAAAATAGAACAATATAATGAAGCTCGAAAAACTCTCCAAGCAAATGACCAAGGAGTAGTTACAGAAAATGGCAAGTGTGTTGCCAGATTGAGCAGTCAAGAAGAAGCTTTGTCCAAAGCTCACCTGGTTATCAAGCCAAAGAAATCAATTACTAATCTCAGTCAAGTCAATTCTGAGACATGAGCACAATCAGGTGAGCTTATTCTAGATAATGTAAAGTAAGTAAAGGAAAAATTCAATGATATAAATAAAAGCTTTGTAATAATATCTTGGTTTTGCGGATATCTCGATTTAGCGGATAATTTTTTTGGAACAAACATATCCGCTAAATCGAGATACGCCGTGTGATCAATTCCTAATGTTGTTGCATTTGCTATTTTTGGTCAAAAATAAATGAAGCTCGCATTATTAAAATTTTGTCGGAAATGATGGTTGTTGAACATTGCGTAATTTTCTCTGTGTGGCGTAAAAAATGCAAGTCAACAAAAGCTTGCCAATACAATTGTACTACCAGTTAAAAAATTTTCATTTTTTTAAATGAACGAAGGTAGAATATCTCTTTATACATATTTGATAAGTTTTATAATCTTTTTAAATAATTAGACAATTTCACTCAAATATTATAGGCTTGCCAGAAAGACCAAGTTACAGATCAGGTCGTAAACCAACTGCCGTCAAAGTTTATACAATTAACAAAGAATCCAAGTAAAGCTAAAAAACACTTATAAACAATGTTATTTGCTACAAAAAAAATAATTATAGTTTTTAAAGAAGGGGTTCTTTTTTTTAATAGATACTTGATTATAGAAAATATACCAGAAATAAATGTGATAAAAGAATTGATCAAGCTACTTGAGCTATATGGGACGATTGAATTGTAAAGTTATATAATATATATACGTATTTTAAAAAACCCAAATAATCAGTCATGATCATGATTCATAAATAATAATATTTAGACATCAAATTTTACATGATTATCCATGTGAAGAATTTACAGAAGTATTATGGGTAAAATTTGCTTCTTTGCCTGAGGCAAGGTAATAATAAAATTTCTATATTATTATTAATTTCTAATATCACCTTCTAGTTTTAAAAAGCTAATTATTTATAAATTTAGAGCTGCAAAAAGAAAGGTTAATGAACATATTTTTTTCAATAGTCCTTTGAAAGTGAGATATGCACCAGAGTATGAATCAGTAGAAGATACACGTGAAAAACTGCAAGAAAGATGTCAAGTTATTGCTATTAAAACTCAAAAAAAAATTTTTCAATATAAACAAAGTAATTTTTAAAAATAATCCTTTTATGGAAAAATAACATTCAAATTATTTAATAAAATAAATTATTTTTTAATTTGTTTAGATATAAAAAAAGGCAATGAATCAAAAATCTCAGGCAAAGCAAGTTTCCAACCAACCCAAATGTCTACTGTTACACCACCATCTTTACCCTCACCAAAATCATTTGCTTATAATACCAACAATTATGATATCCACAGAACTTCCTATAATTATCATCAATATTACAAGTTAACAATTCAAAAATTCAAACAATATTTTTTTTCCTTACAAGAAAACAAAAAAAAAATTCTTATTTTAATTATAATTTTAATTTTAGCACTGAACCACCAATACCGGGAGTTGGATATCCATCACAAACACATTATGAACATTACGACCAAAATTTATTTTCAACATATCATCAACCTCAACAATCTGAACAAACTGTAAAGTTTTCTAAATATATTAAAATGTAAAAATTATATGCATCTATAAATTATTAATTTTTCTTCATTTATTTTAACAGTTAATATCATCCATGGTTAAAAATTCAGCAAGTAAGGCAATAGAATCAGCCTCAATTTCAACAATATCCACATCAACACCATCATCAACAACATCCTTAACTGTTAAGGGTAATGACAATAGTGCTGGAAAACGTTATTACTCACAAACACAATCGAATAAAGAAACTTCGAACCAATCTCAAAAAAATCGAAGAAGAATTTGAAAAAAAATTTAAATCTTAAATACTGTGCTATATATACAGTTCACTCTCTCTATAACGGCCCCCTCTATAACGGCCTCCATTCTATAACGCACTGTAAATCAGAAACCAAATTTTTACTATATAAAAACCTTACTCTATAACGGTTTTCTTAATTAAATTTCCTATAGTGTATAACGGCCAGCCTCTGAAAAACCTCTCATATGTTTTATAAGTTGTCTATAACGGCCGACGATCATGATCTGAGGTAATCATTACCAAATTAAGAAATTAAGTGTGTCACACTCAATTATTAATATTAATAATTCGAACGCGCGCTTATTGTCACAATACATTTATTATTGTAAACATAAATACATTTGTCAACATTACTTCATATCTATCATAATCCTTTGCAGTTACAATATATTATTTGTATTTGAAGGATCATAAAAAAGAACGTCACTATGACTTGCTCTATGACTTAATGTTAATTCATAAGTTTTGCTGTAATAATTATTTGTAAACATGACATAAGAAAAGTCAACCTCCTTGTGACTTCATAAACATTTCAAAATGTATATAAAGACCATATTTTACTTCGAGTTAATAGTAATTTGAAAATAAAAGATTGTATTACCAATATATCTAATAAATAAATTCAAATTAAATATCTAATGCCTTCAAATAAAAGAAAATCTTTAACTGCTTTACAAAAAAAAGAAATTTGCTTGGCAAAAGATAGCACAATTTCCCACAAATCAAGATTTGGCAAACGCTTATGATATAGGTAAAAGTACTGTTGATGACATTTTAAGAGAGAAAGAAAAATGGCTCACAATTGATGATGATTCTTCTGACGCTAATAAAAAGAAAAGAAGAAATTTACTATATGACGATGTTGATCAAGCATTAGCAATTTGGGTGGAGCAAGCACTTAATGCAGGTTTAGATCTTAGTGGTGACATTTTAAAAGAAAAGGCAGTGGCGTTTGCAGAACTTCTTAATAAAAATGGTTTTAATGCATCAGATGGTTGGTTGAGTGGATTTAAAGAAAGGCATAATATTAAAGAATATGTAAAACATGGCGAAGCTGGTAGTGCACCTATTTTAGAATTACCAACTTATAGAGAGCAAATTAAAAGTATTACAAGTCAATATCAATTATCTGACATTTTTAATGCAGATGAAACAGGCCTATTTTGGAAATTGGAGCCTTCTAGAGTGTTGTCCACAGGACCAGTAGCTGGAAGAAAAAAATCAAAAGAAAGAATTACTATAATGTTAACTTGCAATGCCAATGGGACAGAAAAGCTAAAACCCCTTCTGATACATAAATATCAAAATCCAAGAGCAATTATAAATTTTAATAAAGATACCTTGAAAGTGAAGTATTATTGGAATATTTAAGCATGGATGAAAACCACCATCTTTAATGATTATCTAAAAGATTTAAATAATGAGATGAAAAAACAAAATCGAAACATTTTACTATTATTAGATAATGCTCCCACTCATTCTATTTTTGAATCAACAAATTTAACTAATGTAAGAGTTTACTTCTTACCACCAAACACAACAGCATTTTTACAACCATGTGATGCTGGGATAATTAACAGCTTCAAGGTGAACTACAAAAAACTTTTCTTGTGAAAAAAAATTAGTGATTATGAAGAAGAGAGAAATGGTCAAGAATATGAAAAAATCTCAATTAAACATGCAATTAAATTTACAGCAAAAGCTTGGAAAAAAGTTATCAGTCAAACTATAGTTAACTGCTGGAAAAAAACTGGTATTTTACCTGATTATGATATTAATTCCAACGAAATTGAAAATATGTCATCAACTTTAAATTCATTGAATGTAAGAGAGTTCAATGATTTGCAGAATTTGATTGATGAACTTGCACTCCCTAATCCTATATCTGCATCTGAATACATTGAAATTGATGACTCTCATGTAAGTGATGAATTAAATCTAAATGACATAGTTACAATCATTAATCCACCAGAGGAAAATGAAGGCCAGGAAGAAATAATCGAAGAACTTCCACCTGTTACAAATAAAGAAGCCTTGTCAGCAATAAAAACATTAGAAATTTACATTGACCAACAATCAGAATTAAATGAGGATGATTTTAAATTATTGAAAAGTCTTAAAAGAAAAATTAAAAAAATTGATTTTAACTCACAACAACAATCCACACTAGATAGCTTTTTTAATATCTAATATTGAATAAATGTGCAAATTATAAATAGTTTATTTTCATTTATTTCATTTATATATTGTATCACCATTATAATTTATCACATGACTATGATCTGCAAACTCTCTATAACGGCCTTTTTTTGCCAAAACAGACAGGCCGTTATAGAGAGAGTGAACTATATATACAGTACCTAGACAAAAGAATCGGAATGCATGTTTTTGTTAATTACGTAAAAACATACATATCAACAACATATTAAATTTATATCATAAGTAACTTAGGTTATGTTAAACCTTCATGTAGAACTTAATGTTTCAAGCTTTTGTACAGCTCGAGTAATAACAATAATAAAATTTCAATCAAAACTCAATTGACCTAAAATTTTTTTTAGTATTTTTTACTAATTATTCAAAAGCCTATACAATAATACAATTTGAAATTTTAATATGTAAAAGTACAAGTCCTGCTAGTTCACATAATATAATTTTTATCACATGTTTTTGTTTACTTTTTTTTTTAAACCAAGTTTTAAAAATTCGATTTTTTAAAAAATCATAAAAAAATCAAAATTTTTTTAAATTTTAAATTAAAAATGCGTGATTTAACTGAAGCAGAGCGCGGAGAAATAATTGGTCTATATAAAAGTGGTGCCACATATAAAAGTATTTC